AAAGGCCCCAGAAAGGTTAAGTGACTTGCCCAAGGTCACACAGCTAATTAGTGGCAGGGCTGGGACAGATTCCATCTTGCTGGAAAGATGATCTCGTTCCTCTGAGGTGGTGGTGACCTCTCCCCCGGCCCCCACGCGGCCTAGAGCCACATCTGGGTTTTTCCTTCCCAACTGCTGGGAGTCTTCCACACCTGGAGGAGGCCAGGAGGCTTCACAGATGCGGAGCTGGTGACCTGGAAAAATGAAGACAAAGCCTGGGGGCTGGGGGAGGGAGAGAGGAGCTGCTCCCAGGGCTGAGGGTGAGACCGCCATGCTGGAGGTCCATTTACGAAGCTAACACAGCCCTCTCATGTGACCAGCACTTTACAGTTTACAAAGCCCTTCCAAGGCTGTGATCCTCATGACCCTCTGGGCGGTGGCCTTGTCACTCTGCTTTACATATGGGGAAATTGAAGCCCAAAGGGTGACATCGGTAGCTCAAAGCCACACAGTAAGCAATGGAGTGTCAGACTGGGGCTGAGAGGCAGGGAGGTTTGGGACCAGTTAGTTCTCTGCCCCCATTTTACAGATGAGGAAGGTAAGGCCCAGAGGAGAGGGGCCAGGAGCTCCCTATTCTAGGACCTGCTCCCCTAGACACACAGTGTTCCCTGAGACAGGTGAGCCCCTGATCACAAGAGGAAACAGAGCAATGAGTTACCTTTCCCAGGGACCATTCCCACCAGGGATGAGGCCCAGCCTAAGATACCACCCTTTGCTTCTAGTGATTCTAAACATGCCAGTGTAGGGGGATGGCTAAACACTCAGGCTACAGAGTCAGCTAGACCCGAATTCCAATCCTGACTCTGCTGTGTGTCCTTGGGAAAACTACCTCATCTCTCTGGGCCTCAGTTTCCTCATGTCCATGGTGGAGTTTCATTACCGATAGTGGCTGAATAGGTTAGGTGATGTGATGTGATAACACGCATGCAGCTTTAACAGAGAGCCCGGACACTGTGAGTGCTTGATCAGTGTGGTGGCTGATTATTTTTATCTCCGGGACAGACTGAGGGGTTGAGATTGGCCCAGCTCTCTGCCCCAGCGGCCTTGACAACACACCTGTGGCACGTGTCCTTCCCAGGTCTCTAGCCAACACGGAAGGCAGAGAAAGCAGGTGTCTCGTGTCTGGAGTCACACAAACGTGGGCACGGGTAGGCTCGGGGGGCATTCCAGCTGCAGAAGTGGTGAAGTTGCCTGTAGGAGAAAGAAAGGAAATGGTTATCAGCACCTCCCTTCTCTGGAGACGGTGCCAATTCAACTCATTCTGTTTCAAAATAATAATTTAATCTGGAGTGGGAAAAAAACCACCACCACCACCCAGCTTTGCAACTCCAAACCTCGGGCCTTTCCCCACCCCCTCCACACACAGTGGTCTGGTTTCAGTCCAGGGGGGACCTTGAGGGCTCTGGCCCGTGGGGACCTCACAGGCGCTCCAGAGAAGAGGTCCTGGGTGCGGGGTGGTGTACTCTCAGCCTGAAGCCCCAGACGGGCTAATGGCACAGATGAACACACCTGCACATGCTGCATTCTCGCTACTAGCTGCCCACTAAGATCCTCAAGGGCGCGAGGGGGCTTGCTTTCCTGCCCTGCTCATCTCAACCCCCAATCGGAGTCGACTCCATGCCAGCCAGTGATGACAGACAAGGCTTTAGGGTGAGGAAAGGGGCTGGTGGGGCCCAGAGATGACTCTGGGAGGCATCCACCAATCATGGAGCCCAGACACCTCCCCGTTCATTCCCTGGCACAGTCCCTGGGGCCCGGCCCTTCACCCAGGTGGTGCGTGGCAGCGTTCCACCTGAAGACGGGCTTTAAAAGTCAATTATTTGAAACCGGGGAAGCCAAGGCCTCACGGGCCTCTCAGAGCAAACAAGCTTTTGGCAAGTTCAGAGAAAAGGAAACAGGATTGAATATCCCCTTCAACTCACCTGGGGGGGAAATATCCAACTGCTAGGTGGTGGGGGCATATGGAAGCTTGGCTCCTGTGGTAGGTTTAGGGGGCAGGCGTGCTGTAGGGGTCATCCAGCAAGGCCCCTGAGACATTCTAAAGCTTCCCCATAGCAGCTGATTCTACAGCTTAGGATTATTAAGGTTGGGCAGTTCTTCCTTCAGTCTGACTTTATTCCCTCATGCTGCAGATCAGAGATGGTGGGACCTCAACTACTTACCCTTGACTCAGTGACTGAGAGTTGAGGAGCTGGGTTCAGGTCCTGACCCTGCCACAGCCAGCTGTGTGTGCTGTTAGCCACGCTGCTGCCCTGGGCCTGATCCCCATCTGTAAAATGAGGGAGAATCGTACTACCCAGTCTGAGGTTCTTGGTCAAGTGTAAAATCCTACAGAAAGGGAAGAGGTGGGGAGAAGCTGATTCTGTGGCTGAGCTTCATCTCCATCCTTCAGAGAGATGCAGGGGAAGGAAGGATGCTTCGGACTACACACACCCCTGGCTTTGCAGCAGCCCCAAAAGGGGAAACCCTCCTCCCAAGACGCCTAGATCCTCACACAGCAATGGGATGCAAGGAGGACAAACGCCAGTAGATGAATTCTGGAGGATGCAGCTGGAGGGACTGAGGTTAGATTTAAGGAAACACACATGAGTCCTGTAAGTCATGAGGTCCTGGGGGTGAGGAGGAAGATTAGGAGGACAGGGGTGGGAGAACGTGGTAGAGGCAGGGGGATGCTGTGTTTGACCTCCTAGCCCAGTCCCAGGAGCTCCTGCCCACTTACCAGCTTCGGCTGGGACCGCTGCCCCTGAGCCAGCCCAACCAGCACTGGGGGGATGGGGAGGGGTCAGTCTTTGCTCTTCTCTTTCCCTCAGCCAAGGTCAATGGGACACATGACCCCTCCCCAGCTCCTGATTCTCCCTTCTGCTCTAAATCTCTTAACCATGCTGCCCCCAGAGCCGACCAGGAGATGGGAAGATTTAGAGCAAAGCCCAGAGCCCTAGAGCAGCAGTTCTCAGCCCTGGCTGCAAATGGAGGAGCTTTTCAAAATCCCAGTGCCCAAATTGCACCCCTAGACCATTACATCAGAATAGGGGTGGGTCGTATTTTTAAAAGCTCCCCAGGTGATTCTTATGAGTGGTCTAGGTTGAGAACCCCTGGCCCAGAGTCAGAGATGGGGATGTTCCAGCCACATGAATGCCTGAGCCACACCCTCCCAGCTTCAGCATCCTCCCCTGCAACGACCAGAAACCTTCAGAAACCTCTTAGACTGGCAGGAAGCGGAGAAAGCAGAGCATGTGAGAAAGCGCCTGGTACCTAGTAGGTGCATATTAAGTGTTTGTTGAAATAATAATGGCTCCCAATCATGGAGCACCTGCTTTTGTATGCATTTACATCAGCTTTCTTCTGGACTCGATGATTCCTGGGTTGGCGTGCGTTTTCCCAGGAGGACGGTTGCCTTTGTCCTGGTTTTGGGCGAGCAGGTGTGTCTGGAGGCCCTAGGGGAGGACCCTGGCTGTTTCTTGTTTGGGCACATCTTAGGTAACCTTCAGCAAACAGTGACTCAGCCATAGCCGGGTCCCTTCCCCGGCCAGACTCGTCTTCCTCAAGTTTCTTCCAGCAACATGTCAGAGCCCAAGAGGATGTGGCAAGTGCCTGTGTCTGTTCTCCTTGGGGCCCCTTGGCAGGGACGGAGGCGAGGGACAGCGGCTCTCTCTTTTGCCTCCCCTTCCTCGGATACTTGCTTGACCTGAACACCCACCTGCCTCCTAGGTGCTGGGGCTCAGAGGGGCTAAGTGATCAACCCGAGGTCACCCAGGATTCAAACTCCCAGTTCTCAGTCTCCAAAGCCATCTCTTGCTGGCAGCCTCTAGTACCACGTGGCGAACAGAGGAACAGTGCTCCGATCCCCAGCCTGGCCGGCACCGCTCAGTTCCTGGCTCTTGGCCTCACTCTCACTTTTTTCTTTTCTCCGCCCAGTCTTAGAGCACCCTCAGACTGGGGGTGGCAGCCAAAGGCATTACTTTCGGGCTTGCAGGGGAGGGCCAGGAGAAATTTAGGGCATTGTAAGAACTCAGAACCTGCATCCGAGTCAGTGGTTCCAGGACTTAGGGAAAATAGTGGCCAGACTGGCCACACCCTCTGCAGAGCCCTCCCCGGGAGCCCTGCTGCCTGCCGCCACCCCCATCCCACGCCCGCCGTTGCTGACAGACCCTGAAAGTGTCTCTGGGACTAGAGAGCAGCCTGACACCAGTCCCGGCTCTCCCACTGACCTGCTGTGTGACTTCTGGTAAGTCACATCCCCTCTCTGGTCTCGGTTTTCTCAACTGTCAGACCATGAATGAGGTGGGGCTAAATGATCTCTCAGGTTGCTCCTAGCTTGAGCCAACTGACGCTCTCAACACAGAAAAGGAGGTTTCAAACATGAGAGACCAAGTTCATCCGGGGAGACCCTCCTCTTCCCAAGCAGGGGATTGGTGCCTGCATCAGCCCTGAGATCAGCCCGCACTCTGCCTCTCTGAGCCTCGGTTTCTTGATCTGTCAGTGGAATCGTAATAGTTGCCATGTGTTGCAATAGTTAAGGGAACTCATCCACAAGAGAACCTTAACGGCACCTGCTACACAGAACACACTTCCGGGGAGCTGTCCTGATGGCTGGTAACGGGTTGCCTGCGTTCCAGAGCCCTAATCTGTAAAGTGGGGTAATAGTGCCTGCCTGGTGGGGATGTTGCCAGGAGACAATCAAAAGAGATAATAAGAGCCCGGACCTGGCGGCCTGGCCATGGTCCCAGTTATTGTGAAATGACTTGTGAGCAGCTAGACACACCCCGGGCATTCTGTGTTTGTATGTTTCTGTCCCATGGGTGTAGCTGAGCCTTTCTCCCGTTTCCATCCTCCTTAATGGGAGCAGTGGCAGAGGGAGCTGGAAGTGGGGCGACGTGGGGAGTGTTGCCCTGCTTAGGGTGCCAAAGACGCTCTGTCCCACACCCCCTGAGTACCCAGGCTCAGGGACCTGCTGTGCCCCTCCCCGCCGTGGTCGCATCGGCCACACCCTCGCTCCAGCCCCAGCCCTGTTCTCCAGCGAGCACCCGCTCCACCGTCCTGTTTCCCCTTGGGCCAGAGCTCTCCAACCCTAATTTATGAAACCTGTCGACTCAGAGCCCAGATCAGCAATCCCCCAGGGGCGTCCATCTGTCTGTCTGTCCATCCGGCTCAGATAGGCGCTAGTCTGGCTCCAATACCTGAAGAAGGAATGCCAGCCGGCCAGTGGGGCCTGTGGGCTGTAGAGATGACAGCCCCGGCCTGTGTGACACCATCCACCTGGCTCCTCGTCCCATCAGAAACCACTTAAGGGGATGTACCTTAAATGCGGAGAGCAAAGGCAGGGCTGGAGATGCTTTCAGAAATGGAAATGGGGCCCATTTGTTTATAATTTACTCCCTGACACTTAACGGGAACCCGATGGGATAAAGGCCCTGCCGTCACCCAGCTCCCACCTCAAAAGTGCTGGAGCCGGTCCAGTTCTCTGGAGGCAAATGCATCTCAAAGTGGAGCAAACCGCTTTGCTCCCCCACCTCCTGCCTCCTGCTCGCCCGCCCGCCTGCTCCCTTTCTCAGCCTTTGAAAGACTCCTCACTGTTCCCAAGATCCGTGGGGCTGCCAGCCTTTCCAAGCTGTGGGGCAGGAAGGCAGGGGGCCTTGCTTTCAAGGCAGAGAAGGGCAAGGAAGGATTTGAGAAGGGACTAGCATATTCTGGGCACAAGACAGGCCAAGAGAGGGGGCCAGTGATGGAGGAGAAATCCAGTTTTCAATTTTCCTCAAGAGAAAAATGAGTGTATGAGAGACAGAATAATTTTCCAGTGTGCAGGCCCTAAGTAAAACCTCCTTGAGACATTGTGAGTTATTAAAGAGGAGGAAAGAAAAGAAATTGTAAAATCAGTTT